CTGTAGGGACCTCTGGATAGCCGGAAATGACACTCTTAGACTGCGACAGGCATGTGTTGGCTTGTCGTAAGCCTATTTTTTTTTTTTGGTCTGACCGCCTGACCTGCCCTGGGCGGTGGGGGCTTCACCTGTCTGATGGGGGCTTAAGCCCCCTGCCTCCCGACTGGTGCCTCCACTGGTCCACTGATTAATCTCAGATAAAAAGTATAATAGAGTACATATTCCAAGTATTGAAATGCACGCCATCGTGTTGAGATTCAATATTTCAATCATTAATCATGTTATCATCAGGAATACTTTCTTACTTGAGTACTGTGGTTTTGGCATGTCCAGCTGACGAATGTAAAAATCTAGTACGAAGTACACTAGTACACTGTATGTTCGTCCTAATGCAATGATGTATGGTGTATCTGTGCTAGTGAAATACAAAATGCGAAGGTTGTATTAATAATAATTTATTAGGAACTACACTTTTCAATCAGTGGCACACTTCTCGATCGAAGGTGCGTCCAAAACAAAATGTACAGTAAAGTTCACAAAAAAAGACTTATGCTAAGAAAAAGACAATTCAAATTTTCAAAAGGGACATGTATGTGTATTATGATGCAAATACAGATATTGTTGTCATCTATACAGTCTAAGCTTGGGGATGAAATTATTGTGCTTCAGTGGTAATGGCAATGGACTGTGGTCATCCGTTGTATGTCATATTCTATTCATACACATGTCAAGGATGCGATTTAATTCATATGAAGTGTCATCATGGCCTAGAGTGTGTTCCACATGACTTCAAGTAAGGCTTGCATCCATGTTAAAGCCCAGCTTGGGAGGATAGAAGAATTTTGATTTGTTTACAAATGATTTTTCTACAACACTAAAAGGGCGTTTGACAAAAAGCTCAGGAAAGGTGTCAAAAGGGTAGGTGTAAAAAAGGGTGCTTAATACCCTTTTCCCCCTTTCCCCCCGTCCGTAAATATTCAGAAATCTGTGTCTCAATAACCATTCCCATGTTTCTTGTCAAACACCCTTGTAATATCATTTGTCTTGGACAACGTAAAAAATCTTGATTTCCTCCTGGGCCTGGCTTTAAAGTGTAAATTCTGAGTTAGTTGACTAGCCTAGACCCTCCAGACTCAATGTCTACCCAAGCTGTTGTTCAGCAATAGGCTTAAGCCTAACCTAGCTAGGCCCTACAATAGTATTAGGCCTAGCTAGAATCTTGACACGATGGCGTGCATTTTGATACTTGGAGTATGTATTATACTATCTTATCTGAGATTAATCAGTGGACCTTTCGGTTTGACTGTGTGGAATTCGATTGTCACTTTGTTTGGTGCACTAAAAAATATATAGAGGGAAGATTTTGGGGTGGTGGGAGATGTTAATCAGTATCTTATATTGCCGTTTCTTTCAATTAAAATGGAATAAAAAAAAAAAATTTTCCTCTTCAATTAATCAAGGCATTTAATGCCACTACTAATTGATAATCTTTTACATGGATCCTTTAAATTGACTGGTGGTAATCGATTTAAATATGTTTTTATTTCAAAAATCTAAAAAAATCATATTTTTTGATACATTATTTGGTTAATTCTCAAGAGAAGTATTTTTTTTAAAATTTAAAGAACTGTAATGTAATACTGAATTAAATTTTATTTTTCATGTTTAATATTAATACAGTACTGGTATTAGCTCCATACTATTTGTATGCTAATTGTTAGAATGTAATTTTCAGAGTAGAGTATAACTATTCCTGTTTGTTACCCATTAGTTTCTCAGGTTTAAGCCACCCCCTTTTTAACAGCTAAAATGTGTCAGTTTTGGAAGTTTACAGTACTTTTTAACCCTGGAAAAAAAAGAGCTAACAATAGTAAACCTGCTGGCCTAGGCAGTTTACTTGGTCAGACCTCTGACCTAGAATATTGCCTAGCACCTTGGCTCACAGTAGTTTCAATGTTTCTGAAGTAAAGTCATGATAACTGGGGGGCTTTACCCGAAGAAACCTGGTATTCGTTTTGTGTTTACTGTAAATCATACATTTTACAAAATCATTGAAGTCAAGTTTTTTTTTTTTTTTTTGTTTGGTTTTTTTTTTTTGAGATTTGCCATTTAGGTAAAATGAAAAAAAAAGCTATCTATCCATGAGAGTAGCATTAATGCAACACAATCAATAAAATAGCACTATAAATGTGGTTTTCAATGCACATTACCAGCTAATTAATACCTTTGTCTTACAAATCTGTAGTCTATTGTTCATGTACAATCGCTTTATTACTGTATAATACCTCCTACTCAATTCCTTTAATATGAATATCTACTCTGCTCCAACGCAAATGGTATTTATTGTAGTACTTTCTATAAATTTTTCTAAGTGCTGTAGATCAGTATTTTTGTAACGGCAGGTGATCTCTTGTAAGGTATGCCTACTGTATGTTCACACCTTTTTTATCTGTAGATAAAACACAGGTGTGTGGCCCATATCATTTCTAGTGAGAGGTCATATGAGCCAAGGCGATCCAGTCAGAATTTTGCATCCTTTGCTTGAGTGAGACGCCCTTATCCTGTTGTCTCTCTTTACCCTGATGTACTGTATAAATGGGTACCTTGTAAGAGGTGAATGATATAAAATAAGTTGGTAGAGCTAAAGGTTATTTAGCAACACACTCCAGGGAGTGGGCAAAATTGCATGTTATGTATACTGAAGTATTTCCTCATATCATGCTAAAGTATTGTATTTTTTTTATATAATGTTCTAGTTTGCGTGAAGAATTACTTTCATTGTTTGTTTTGGCAATGCCGTAGCAGTTGGGACAGTCCCACACTATTTTTTCTCTAATGGGTACATAAAGAATGTGTCCATGATCTTTTTAAAAATGGGTCCGAATTATGCAAGTTTATACATAAAATGAGTCCACTTTTTGAAGATATATGGGTACAGATTTCTCAGTCTAGATTTTTTTCATATTTTTGCGTAAAATTTGTTTACATCAACTTTAAGGAAAATAGGTCTACAATATTTAAATTTTTGCGTTAAATGGGTCCACCCTGATGTTGTCCTGCACTGTTTGAAAGATTTGTGTACGAGTTGGCATTGGTACGAGTTAGCCTGTATTCAGTGTATTTCTATAATATTAGTACTCGTAGCATTACAATCAGTATCTGGTTATAGCTTTGTACTGTAAGTGTCCGTGGTGGTATGGTACTGTACATTACTGCATACTGCACTACAGTACAGTTAGTAGCACAGCTAGCCTTAAAGCCTCATGGCTGTGTAATTTTACCTGTTTTAATCAGACTCGGAGAACACTTGTTAATTGATGCCTGTAGGTATAATCAGCGGCACTTACTCATCTTGTATTTTATAGCAATCCCTGTTGAATTTGTCATTGCATCTGTCAGGAATTTACCTATCCAGTTTAAGTCTGTAGGCTCGGTTTTCCCTACAGAGGGTATAGAAACGTCTTTTACATATTTTCATGATAAAACTAATTAGTTTACTTGAAGCAACCCACATATTGGCTACAGGTGTCACTGAGAGTTAAATTCAAACCATCCTAAAATATCAAAACCTTGGCCAAGTTAACTAGGTCTGTTAATAATTTTAAGGAGATCCAGTCAGACTTCTAGATTATGATTCAGAGGTTGAAATCATTTAATAATTAGTTAAATTTGTATCATAACACTTTAGGTGGAAATTGTTGTATGGATGTTACAGTAGATTTATACAAGAAAATATTTTTGAATAAAATCAATTACTTTTCATATATCAAATGAGAAATTTGAATGTTTTATTTGCATTTTTCACAAGGTTTTCATGACCACAGTTTACAGAATTTCATTAAAAATATATTAAATTCAAATATACCCACTTTTTCTTTTTTTTTTTTTTAGTATTACCTAATTTGTTTGCAATGCTAATGTACCGTACTCTGGCACTATAATAATGCCAAAGAATTTGTACCATAAAACCTCAAATTGAACCCCTGGGCTTTTTTTTTTTTTTCAAACTTTGGATGGGCTTCTTTTTGAGGCCACTCTTGCAAAGTAGTAATGAATGCTGTAAATTTTGGCAGTTAGATTACTACAAAACAATAAATAGGGACACTGTTAACAGCAATCTGTATCATGGAGTGTTTGACGGCATTAAATCACCTAAACTACTGTATAAACCAAGCATGTTTTTAATTTACTTTGTTTCTTTGAAATTCATGTACAGTGTTTGTACGGTACTATCTCGAAAAGAAGCAAGGTGGGCTTCAGTTTGAGATGGGCTTCTCGAGATTAAGCCCATTGGACTTCAATTTGGTGTTTTAGGGTATAGCAGAAGAACAAGCTCTTTGCATAGGCATTATTATAGAATGTCCGCCCTCCTGCGAGTGGGGTAAATATTTGACCTTTTGATGGAGTTGAGAAACTATAGGAAACAAACAAACCCATGCGGCACCTTTAATGTAAAGATATAGCACCACCATGCAGATGGGGTAAAATTTGCTTGCGTTCCATGGTCTTCCCACAATGCATTTCTAGTGAATGTTCCACTATATCGTGAAGCTACTCTATCTTCTATTCTGTAATAACACTTACAGCAATGACACCTTTTCTGAAGTTATTACGGTAATGGTATGGACTTTGTGTATCGATTATGTTATTTCACTTCAGTACCTGTAAGTCAAACATGACCTTCTGTTCTAAATGCGCACATTGTTTGTGTTATTTCTTAAGTAACATGCAATGCAAGATGTACAGATTCATTCTATATGTACTGAGCCAGTTAAGGATGTAACCTGTTTTCTTAATTGCATTAAAATATGCATCAGCAAATTATGAACGTCAACAACGATATTGAAGTTAAAGGTTAATAAAAGATTAATAGACTTTAAAACATGATTGTACATTGGTTTGCTTGGAGATTGGTTCCAGGGGGAGTATTCACCAAAGATAATGAATTGAAATTAAATATTATTTTTAAACTACATAGTAAAGAATGTAAAAAGTATTTAAAAAAAAAACCAATTAGTGAGCTGCCATGGACCAGTACCTATTTCCAGAGACTCACCTCAGTTGGTGACTTGTCAGTACTTGTAAATAAATATTTTTGTTTTATTTATTATTATTAAATTATTTTAAAATCATGTTTTAAAGTCTATTAATCTTTGTTGTTCCTTTGTGATATCCTGCATGCTCTTGAAAAAGCAATGACCTGGGTTTTATTTTATCTTTTTATTTTTTCTTGAATAAAGAATGATTCGATGATTCAACAGACATAATTTTAACATATTTTGTACTTTTTTTTTAACCAGCAGAATAAAAAATGGAGATAATTGAGAATCGTCCGGCTGGTACATTAATTTGCTGCAATGTGATGGGGTTTGGTTGCAAATTACTTTAATGGATAGATTCAAAATGAGTCGTGTAAACAGAGATAAAGTGTCGGTCCCGGAAGAACCGCCAGGATCCCCAACAGGTACCACATATGTGGAGAGATTGCTGGCAGTGGATATTGACCCCCAGACATGCTATGAGGTATTCTTCAGCCACTGGAAGCAGACTCTACAAGTCTTTAACAAGCACACGGCCACCGCAGTGTTCAAACGGTCACGGGTTTCCATGGATGAGGTGCAGACAGTCGTTAATTACATGAACCAGATGATGTGTTTATTGGTTGAGGAAAAGTCCCCGAGTGGTGGCGTTATTGGTCGAATGCTAGAACTCATGATACGAGATAACATGCTTGATAAGTTTTTCGTCTGGTGCAGTAAGAGCGGTGAATTCTTTGAAGACTTAAAGTACGAACAATTAAAGATTTATGAAATTCTCATCGCACAGTCAAGACAAAGTGTTCTTATGCACAACGCTATTTTGAACCCGCTACTACGGCTTCTGTTAGCGTGTTCGGAATTTAACTCAGAACGTGTCGAATCACGATTGATACTGCTTCTGAATCAACTGTGCGTAGCTCTTTCAAAGGACACAACTTTGCTAGAGTTTTTGTTTCATGCAAGTCCAAATCAGGGGCCTGCCAAATTTTTGATATTTTCGTTGCTGATTCCGTTTGTCCATCGTGAAGGCCGACGAGGGCAGCAGGCAAGGGATGCACTATTACTATGTATGGCTGTCTCCTCCGAGGCAGAAACCGTTGGGAAATACATTGCTGGAAGTACAAGTCTGTGTCCAGTAAGTATTTTCAGTAATTTATTTAACATTTTTTTCTTTTCAAATAAATTCAGTTGGTGATAACTAAACATTAAACTTGTAATATGAATGATTATATTTTCCATAACCTTGATTTATCATTAAATTATATAAGATTACTGAGATAATTTTTCCATAAATATTTTTTTTTTTGACTTGAAAAATATCAAGAGTATTAATCTTAATAAAAAAATGATAAATCAAGGTTATGAAAAATGTGATCATAACAATGTATACACATAATAATAATAAAGGCCTATTTAAATGAACACAGAAGCGGCAAGCAATAGCAACAGATAATGAATGCACTGACACGTACTTCATCCGAGTCTGATCAAATACTTATTGAGTTTGACAGACAAATTAAATAAGCCTACAGTACAATACAGTACAGCACATGCCAGGCTTTCGGACTCTTCAAACTACTGTATGATGAAGCATGTCCCTGATGATACATCATTTATACACACAGGAGGAGTAGGAGGAAGTCATGCATAGCACTCAAATGACACACGCATGCTGTATCCTCCCAAAGTATTCTGTATAGTACCCTACAAATTCACCTTGATCCAAATTAAATAAATTGTGAATTGGAATTTGGTTATTGTACTGAATGTTTTACCAACTTTCTGTCTAGTTTTTAGCATGTTTTATTTATTGATTACCTGCCACATGCCGTATGATACTGCCTTTACTTGACTGCAGTGTAATCCAATTCATTTGAACTGCACATGCCGTATCAGAAATCAGCCAACATGAACCTATGTTCTGTGTACTGTGTCTATGTTTATTGACTTTGATATGGGCATGCGCAGTTCAATTTCAAGCTACGAGTTTGCTATACTGCAGTGAAATATGACAAAACAGTATGTGTTACAGTATGTAGCATGTAAACATTAAATAACTTGGGAGGAAAAAAGTAAAAAAGAAAATAGCTTTTAGGACTGATAAAAATGCTTCATAATGCCTGGGTGTTCTCATGGTTTTTGCTGTCTTTGAGTGATTGTTTTCTGCTTGTTTAATTGTATGTGTTTTTCAACTTGCCTGTAAATGTAATATTGATTGGAGTATGTTTGTGTGCGCTAAGTATCCATTTTCAATTTATGTTCAAAATTGGTCACATCATTAAACCAACAAATGCATTTTAAGTACTGTAATGTACAGTATTTAAGAAAGTTTGAAAAACACAATTTACTAAATTAACAATTGGAGTTAGCTTTTGTTTAAGAGCTCATAATCTAAATTATTATCTCACTGGAAAATTACCTACTGTAAAGTCTCTTCAATGTCATGTAATGAATCATCTGTAAAAAAAAAAATTAACTACTGTACCGTGTCAATTTTTTTAATAGCTTGACGGAGCTTCATTAAGGATTACTTCTTAAGCCGCAACTCTGTAAATTAGCAAATTATTGTGTTGCATGCCTTTATTTATACTGGAAATTCATTATGTATCTAATTCTTCTAGTTTATAGTTAGCAATTTAATTTTTTAGTTGAAAGTTTCCACCATCCACAATACAAACTACAAGACAGTAAACTGTAAAAACTTGAAAATTCAACTATTCATTGTTGCTCATGTTAGAAGGATTAAATGATTTTGTTAAATTCTTTCCAATGAAATAAATCATGAACAATTTATTTCACTTAATTAAGTTACAGACTTTGTATAGAACTTACTATAAAAATCCTAAATTGATTGCCAAACATAGTATGGCAATTTAATATATTACAGTAATAGGCCTAAATGAAAATATTTCAAAGGAACATTGCTTTTTGAAGCAAAAACTGCTTTTTTGTTCGTTATCATAATGTGATATGCCAAACCATTGACTCATTGCAAATCGTGTTTCAGAGAAAATGGCCAAAACATGCTGGAATGTCAAATTTTAAAAATCTATTTTATTGCACCAAACTAACCTTGATACATCTACACATCATTCTATGCTGTTATTTTCCCCATTTTCAATGTTAGAACAATACTTTTTAATTAAGGATTTAAAGATAGTTTCTGCATGAGAAATGCCTGAAATCATAAACTTTGACGACTAATTTCTCATATATTGTTCATTTAAACAGCTGTGTGGTTAAACGCTTGTAACTTCATAAGGAAATGTCCGATTTGAATGATTTTTTTACCATTTTATTGCTATTATTTTACTCTCTAACACTGTATTAATAACTCAAAATCGATTTTTGCGACGAGTGACTGGTTTGGCTTGTCTTTGCCACAATGCTAAGCAGTGGCAGATTCAAGACGTCCGTTCAGCCCTCACTTTCCCCACCCATGCCTTCCTTAATTTTTTTCAAAATCATAAAAAAAATGGGGAAAAAAAAGAACAATTTATGTTCAAATTCATTTGAGAGTGCCATTGCCGGCCATTTAGAGGTGCCTTCCTTTATCATAAATGTTCTCGCCTAAGCCCCAACCATGGTGGTGCTAAGGTGGTCTACTGAAGACCCTCCATGAAAGTCTCTACGGGGCCGCATCTGTTTTGAATTCCTAGATCCACCACCGTTATGTAAACACTACTACCACAAGCTACAGTACAGGCTTCGTTTATGAAGAGAGAGAAAAAAAAAATAATATGAGGCAAAGACAAGCCAAACCAGTCACTTGTCGCAAAAATCTATTTTGAGTTATTAATGCAGTGTTAGAGAGTAAAATAATAGCTATAAAATGGTAAAAAATTCGTTCAAATCGGACATTTCCTTATGAAGTTACAAGCGTTTAATCACACAGCTGTTTAAAGAACAATATATGAGAAATCAGCCTTCAAAGTTTATGATTTCAGGCATTTCTCATGTAGAAACTATCTTTAAATCCTTAAAAGTGTTGTTTTAACATTGAAAATGGGGAAAATAACAGCATAGAATGATGTATAGATATATAAAGGTTAGTTTAGTGCAATAAAATAGATTTTTAAAAATTTGACATTCCAGCATGTTTTGGCCATTTTCTCTGAAACACAATTTGCGACGAGTGACTGGTTTGGCTTGTATTTGCCACATATAGTGAAGTACTGAAATTTAAAATTAATTAAAATTAATGTTTAAATTTATTACTTAAGTATTAAATTTTTAACACATACAGGCAAATACTGAAGGCAGGAAGGATAGGCCTACTGTAGTAAAATAGTTTACTGTAAAGTAAGCTGTCATGAGGGTGCTGAGAAACATAGGAAGTTGTTCTGCTTTTCGATGACAAACAAAAATATAATGTGATGTGAAGAACTTCCTGTTGTTGAAAAGTCAAGTTAATATTTCCTATGCATTTCCTTATGTTTTATCTGTTGTGTGTAAAATTGCGTTTAACTGTCTTTACAGCAATATTTAGTGTGGGCACTGAATGATTCAATATTTTCGGAAAGTAGATACATGTACCATACAGTAGTTAAATTGTTTTTAATAGTTTATTTTTAGTATTATCTTCATGTTATTACAGTACATTGCTGTAAGTCTGTAGACCTATATATACAAACCTAGAGTAAGATTTGCAGAAAATTAAATGAATTGTTTTCCTGGTAAAAAGAAATTGATGATTATATTACTTTTTATTTAACTGCAGACTATAATTTTACCACTGCACTGATTGGTATAAACCATTAAAAAACTTAATGTACTTGTAGAGAGTGGGATGGTACCCTTACATGTTTACTGTATAACATTAACAACAATGTGTCAACAATGTTGACACATTGAAGACTGTTCTACAAAATTATAGCCTGGTTCTCACTAGAGCCGTAGTATCCGGAACGAGAGATAACCATTAGCGCTGACCGTTAGCACCTGTGGGAGAACGCCCGATCGGTTAGTGCTAACTGTTAGCGGTATCCGGATACGCTAACGGTTAGCAAGCGTTACAACTCTCATTAACTGAATCCTGTACCTTGGTTTCATACATAGAACAAGTCTGTGTTGATGATACAATGTTGTTAAATTAACAAATCAAAGGCTGTTTATAATAGTCTGTTGACACATTGAAGACTATTCTATCACAACATTAAATGTCATTAACTAAAGCCTGTACCTTGGTTTCATACATAGAACAAGTCAGTGTTGATGATACAACTTTGTTAAAAATTAACAAATCAAAGGCTCTTTGTAAAAGGAAGTATAGTTTAGGCCTACTATCCAATTACAAGCATATCATGATCAAGTGGACCGTATTGATTTCATCGTGTGTGTCTAGCTCCATAGGCTATTTGCCATGTACACTGTTCTCTTCATGCCTATTTACTAATTCATTAGGCTTTACAGTTTGAAACAACTATTCAATCCTTTAATACATTGGAATTCTAGACCTACAGTAAATGAGTTTCTAGGTTAGTTGGTAGATGATAGTAAACACATATTTTGCAATATCATGGTAGGCCATAAAATGTTACAAAATACACATTTTTTTTTATAAGAACAACACTAAGGCTAAAATTGCTTTAAAAATAAGAACAAATTGAGGCTGAAGTAAAATTTCAAATGAGGTTTATTATTAAAAGTTTATTCATTTTTTTTAAATTAAAAAGAATAAAGCTACAGTAATCACATACAGTTAAGTATTAATCTTTGTAATACCCTTTATAAATATAGTATATATATTGCTATAAAATAATAATTTTCTCTCTTTGAAATGGGTAAAATAAGAACATTTTGAGCCTGAAATTTCCCCAAAAAGTGTATTCCTTGTTTCTTTAGTTTTTGAATGTTAAAGATTGCACCAGGAGCAGCTATCATCAAGAATGACATTATATTTCTTAAAATTCATCATTGTTCATATACTGTATGGAGATTCATTCATTCATCCATCCATCCATCCACTAAAATAATACTTGAAATTAATCATTTTAAATTCATAGATTTACCTTATTTATTTTTTATGACAATGACATGTGCACAGCAGTTGATTTATAATACAATTATTCTGTTAATAATTCATGAATTATTAAAATAATAATCAATACCATTAATACCTTACAGCACAAACCATTAAATCCAGCCTCATTTCTCTCCACTATTTAATTATACCTACTGTAATATACTGTACACTCTTGCAAATCACTTTGCTTTTATTATATCCTACAGGTGCTCGCAACTGGGCTTGGTGCTCTATATTCACGGTTGCCAAGGAAACTGGTGATCGATGTCGATCATTGGCACTCGTTGACAAGAGAAGATTGGGTCAAGATCCCAGAGCTGGTTCACTTCCTTAACTCTTTGGAATTTTGCAATGCTGTTGTACAGGTAAAATAAAGAAATTCTCCATAGTAATGTTTTCTTTTTTTTTTTTTTTTGTATTCTGTATGCTATAAATTATCGTAAATAACAAACAGGCATTTGTGAGAGCAGCGCTTATTAAAAATTATTGAGAGTTGATAAGTACAGTACTAATGTTTTATTCAGAATATCAAGGCATAATAAAACATATCGCTATAGCCCTACAGTGCTTTCTTGGGAGAGGCACTTGTTATTTTATCATTTAGAATTATTTAATTTTTTTGTGATAGTAATTTAAACAATACTCTATGATAATAATAATATTATAATAAAACTTATCAAAAATGGCCATTACCATATCAATGCCGTATTAGTCAGATTTCGACATCGCCTCATTATATGATTCTAAATTGGAATTATTAATTTTCTATTAATAGGAAAAAATATAATGAATATGAAGGGGAAATAAACGATTTCAATTCTATGGGAAATTTACTCATTATTTGTAGTATTTTATTCTTAAATTTTGAATAACAAAGCAGTCACCAGACAATCAATCCTACACTGTCACCTTGGCAATTTTACAGACGTGTCAATTTTGCATTTTGTGGTTGTTTTTCTTTTAACCAAGGCATGTTTTCTATTGATATGTACATTCATATTATATCCGCAATTTGAATAAGATTTTTAGCTTCTTTTATTTGATTGTTGACAATAATAAAAAGGAAACTTATTACTGTAAGAAGATAATCCCATACATCTTGCAATTGTTTGAATAGTTACTTTGTGTATACAGTAGTACTGTAGTTAGTAGCCCACGCTAGAATGAACAATAGATACACTTTTAACTTAGACTTATGGGTTGGATACTTGTACCTGTAGTAGTAATAATTTAATAGTGAGAGTAAAGTATAAAAAAGCCAAAAAATGAAAACTTCATCATTTTATGTACTCTTTTTGGGAGAAAGTGGATTGGTCATAGAAAAGAGTAAGTTTCATATTTTCTTGAAAATGATGCCTCCCCCCCCCCCCTTTTCTTGACATGTTACAGTATGTTTCAAATGATTAATTCTTCCAATGATTATCTTTACAATTAAGGTCTCGCATCCGCTTGTCAGCGACCAGCTAGTCCAATTCTTCCATGACGGTTTCCTGGTTCCAGTGATCGGACCCGCCCTCCATCAGGTACTGTAGCACTAAACAATACCAATCATCATCATATATCTGTCTCTATGTACAGGGTCCACAGTTAAATGTGGTTATAGTTTAGGGATGGCCTTGTAAAACTCTACACTGCATGAATCTGGGTTTTTGGTCAGGCACTCTTCAATATCGTATTGTCGTGTTTTTGCGAATATATTTATTTCATTGTTTCATTTGTTTTCTATCTGTATATTAAATCCCATTAAATACATTTTATCCTTTTATATCAGCATCAAAATTAAGAATACAAGCATTAACATAAACAAAAACCTATTTCATGTTTGTCTTCGAAAATTCCTGATTCTTTTTTGACACATCCATTCTTGCTATACTGAACTTTGAACTTTGAACTATAGGGAGCTTTCGATTTACAACGTATGACGTAGAACGTAATGACACCATGTTAATTTATCTGCGCATGTCTGAATGTTGTGCGTTCTCTCCTAAAATCTGGAACAGTTTCGACAGTCACAGATAGCAAATTTGTTAGTTCTACTTTCTCAATGAAAAGCTCCCCAACTAGCATCATCAAAGTTTGCAATACTTATGCCCCATAAAAAAAATTATTAGTTTATCACCCTATCAAAGAATAAAAACTGATGAGGGAGGGAGGTTTTTTTTTTTGTTTTTTTTTTTGCTTATCCCGCCCCAATTTTTACCGATGATCACAAGTAAATCAATGGTTAGGGACACATATAAAAAATCATAAGAATGGAATGAAATTTATGTTTAAAAAATATGTTTTTGTTGTACCAGTAAACATATTTGCAAGAAATCCTGAGCTTTTCAAGTGAAAAAAGATTGAAAAAGGACCGTTTGAAATAAAAATATATTTTGATTAAAAAAAAAAAAAAAACATAAAAATATATGTTGATTAAAAAAAAAAATCAGATTTTTCCCAAAAGTGATGAGGGAGCGGGTGATAAACTAATAATTTTTTTTATGGAGCCTAAAGAATACTTACAGTACAGTATATCATTTCCATCATTATCAAGTAAAATTAGCATCATACTGTATCAATAATTCTCTCGACAAATATGTAAGATATGACACTGATAGTGAGATAATACCTTCAATGATTTGATCTCGGAACCTACAATGATCTATTTGCAAATTTTATTATTAGAGCCTCATATCATATGATTTGACCTTTGGAGACATTAGCTTATGATTTGACCCTTGAATACAATTATCATTATTTGACCTACTGGAATAATTATCATAATTAAAGTCCGACCTGATTGTCATTACCATTTATAAAACCTTGATATCAAAATCATTATAGAGGATAAAAGTCATGATGCATCATTGCATATATTGACAAGTCATCATCAATTATTAGATAAACTCTGTTGGTTTCAGCTTTGCAAGGTGTTGTGGACATTGAGCAGAGAGAGTCTATTCATTGCGATGATAGAAGTTAATATACCTCCTTGATATGATGACTAGAGATTGCAAATGTCAGACTTGCATATCATTTCAACAGTTTTGCTCATAATTCAGAATGAATGAGTGAATGAATGATATCGGCTAATCCTGTTATATTGGAACATACAGTACAGTAGTTCATGTACAGTATAAGCCCACTTCATGTATGCCCCCCCCCCCCCCACTACCCTCTCACCACCAACCTTACAGATAGCCAATTATTTACATACCAAGGTGTCCCCAGGCAAAAACCCAGAGATACTGTAAATTGAACATTGACATGCATGCCGACTTCTCCCTTCGTATTAAAATCCCATTAAAAACCTGAATTATGTAAAACGTCTCTCTCCTTCCTTCCTCCCAAACAAAGGAATTCCTTGAAAACCACACATATTATAATATAAAACAAAATTATATTAATATTATTTACAACCAGCTCTACTCTGTTATTCATCATCAATTGCAGACATATTGAAATACAGACTTTAGTGTAGCACTATGTTTTTTTTGTATTGTCGAAAAAGTAGTTATATTGTACAAAGTGCTTTTCCTTTTTTTCATTTTTAGTTGATATGTTTATTGTTGGCATTTTTAAGCTTTCAATTCTTTAGTGTGATTTCTGGTAGTATTTTTTCTGCCTTTTTTCTCCTCTTATAATTTAATTTCCAGCTGATATGTTTTTCCATTTTAAATTTGGTGATTTTTTTTTTCTTCATTTCTTATTGTTATTGTCGCAGTATATTTATCTGCAGCCTTCGTAAAAAGAATGAAAAATAAAATGTTTAAAAAAAAGTTTTTGTCTCACCAGCTGAACAGATTTTCATCAGATCATATGGATCCTTCCCCTTTTCCCCCCCCCCCCCCTCTTCCTAACATATTTACAAAGATAGGAGAAGAGCTATTCAGCAATTGTCAAACTATAAAATTAGTTTGGGCTCGCACTCATTATTTGCCTACATTTCCCCTGTAATTGTTTTGAGAAAAATTTTCCATTTCCAATGCGATATGAACTCGCGATATAAATACAACAAATATTATTTTTTTTTTACTATATTATATTTATTCGGTATCAAAATATATAAAAGTAAAACATACAAATTAAAATGCCATTTTGCATATTGTACAAGTTTTACAATAAGGAGGTATGGTTTCAGAGGGTGTTCCCCATCCCAAATTAGATTTTTTTAAAGAATAGGAACCTCTGGATGGCTGAAATGTCACGCTCTGTTTGTGATGTTGATCTAAATTCTCATGATGTTTTGCTATTTTTCATAATCCAAATTCTCCATGACATTATTCTATTCAAACACCTAGGAAAATATTAATAATGTATTAACAATATATTGTGGCCATGTTCCAATTAAAAATTGTTCGGTGTACATCAATTAAATTAAAGTTATGAATTATATTTTGGGGCCCAATTAATAAGCTCTCACCAACTCTATAAGCCTCGTACAGACTTGGTTATGTAAAGATATCATGAGTCCCAAATTTCAGCTAAGCTTCCCACACCAGTGTTCTCCCAATTGAAAAATTTTTACTGGTAAATTTGTCCATATAGAGCCAGCTAAGTGCACACAACTTGAGATATTGCCACTTTTAAGTGGAGTTAAATGGCTTCAATAAACAATAATACTTAATCATAGCTTAGGCCTGGAAAGGAATGATGTTCGTTTATTGAAAGAAGGCCAGCCTAGTCAACATAGGCTTAATAATGTACTTTTTTATCCTACCAACACACAATTTTTACTGGTTGGTCAGTTATTTTTAACTGGTAAAATTGACAGCTAAAACGGCTTCGGGAGAACACTGCACACCCTAGGCCTTTTACGACTTTATTATTTATACCGTACTGTAATAGAACATTAGGGTTCCAAATTATTTGTTACAATTCCTTAGGCCCCATAGAGACTTCCAGAACATTATTCAGAACATAACAGTGTCCTAAATAATTAGGTTTACTCTGTATGAATCGGCTCGTTTGTTACAGCATACCTGTAAACTGTTACTGTAACAGATCCTTTATTAACACTGGATGTTTTGGTATTCAAATTTGCATTTTGTGTTTATATCCTGTTATCAATGTTAATGATCATAATTAATAAACAATGCATATACAGACATTCCAATGCTCCAATTCAAAACCATCCATTATCATTATCAAACATTTCTGGTAGTTATTGGTTTTCAATGTGCAATTATTAAAAGATTATATCATATAAATAGATCTCATTATTGCGATAAAATAACTCAATATTCAAATGCAAATTTTAATCCCTACTGCTTCACTGTTTTTAGTTCTATAATGCCAAAATCCAAATTATAGTTTTATTTAATTAACTATACAAAATCCAGAAATTAGCATTACATTGGCTAACATTCATCAAATATATCGTGTTAATCCACTATTTACCATGTTTACCCATTTTCAAAACCCATGTTTGTTGATACCGGCATATTATATAATATATTCATGGCCATTGAAATTAGTAAGAATGACATATACTATAATTTCGCTTTGTCATAAATGAGGCTATTCTATTGGGAGTCCACTGTATGTTCGTTAATGTAGAGTTGATATGCATAAACATCTAATTTTTTCTTAACCTGTAAATTCCCACTTGTAACGTGTGCTTTTGTTATGCTAATTAAGATAATGTTAGGAATGAATAAATTCATAGATATTTAAATTTAAAAACAATGTTTATTTATGAATTTAAGGTTTCTCCTGGAGATAAATGTCATTCAGTACCAGATAATTTTACCTAAAGCATATTAATATTAAAAAGTGATATTAATGTTAAAATGTGGCAAAATCCTTTTTTTTTTTCTTTTTTTTTTTTTTTCAAAGGCCCTAGATGTTCCTTCTTACAAAATTGATAGTTTCTTAAAATCTCTTGTTGGGACTCTTTAAAATATAATAATGTTTTAAAATGTTAAATTCTCTATCGTAAAATTCATATTTTTCTTATTTTTTGTTAGTGTCTTATAATACCTCATTGATTATACAGATTTAAATTAACACACAGAAATCATATTCCCATGTCAGTAACTATCCCACAATTCATCTCAGTCCCACATATAAAATATTATTAATTTCCCATAATCCCTCATTGAAACTGGTTAAATACTAACAAAAAATATTGCACATATCCCAGATGTTTGTGTCTTTCCCACAGTGCATTTTGTTTCCTCTCCAAAGATTAAACAAAATATTTGTGTATCCCATTCATTCCCCAAATTCCATCATATTATAAATAACCAACTTTGAATCATACAGTAGTGAACATTCCGTCCGGCATCATGCCTATCGTGTCATTTCATCTCCCAACTTTCTTCATTCCATAGTTTTCCAGAGGTAATGTTGATCCCGCAGACTCTGACAATGTGGTAGGTCTTGTGTTTTTGTTCAACTTTCTGGTAGCATGGCGATGGGTATTGGTTGTGGGTTTCATGTTTATTTGTTTTGTTTTCTAACTGCACTATTTTTCCATGAATAGCAGTGACATTATTGTAATCTTAATAATTCCTATTCAATAATTGAGGATTTTAACAATTAATATTTATCTATATCGAGTCCTTGGTTGAGGCACTTGCAACTGTACGTGCTAACCATCAAATGATACTTAATACAACCACCACATAGTAAATTATTTTTTTCTGTATTTGTTATAAGATATATAAAGGAAAACAAATAAAATGGAAAAATAATATATTAATTTGGTACTGAAATTTATCATGGTCAATATTTTGTGCTCCATTTTAGTAATTAATTGCAGTACAGTATTATTGTAATTAAAATTGTCTATTATTAAAGATTACAGTCGTGTCATTACTTTTCTTACCTTCCTAATTAGCAAGGCTGTACAGTATTATTTGCATGCAGTGTAACCTATTTTGTTGCCTCACAATGTTGTTTTTATCATGTTTTCTGTGTTTCATTTTAAAATGTTGTTTATTTTTTTTAATTACATACTATATCTATTGTGTCCAAAAAATATTTTATTCACAGATAATAACTACTATTAATAAATAATCCATTCATTCTCTTTGAAACTACAAGGGTCAGTGACCTATGAACTTTCACCTATGAAATAATCATACTAATTTATTACTATTGAGGTAATATGCATACTAATGTTTATAATATTTGTTTAATTTTTTAAAATAATTAGCTAGGATAAAGTAGGTTGATTTATTTTACTATTACTGTATAATGTTTTGTATTAATATTCTAATAAAATATTTTGTGGTTATTTGGCCCGTTATTTGTATTAATTGGAAATATTATATTCCACTTTGTTAATTGAATATTATGTTAATAATTACATATTGTGTCATATTGAATCAATAATACTTTCATTAAATATACTTTTCTAAATCAGAGTGTTACATGATTATGAATGTACATTTTATGATATCTAATGCTAGCATGTCAGTTTTAAATAACATTGCAACACATTTTAAAAATAGTTTTATACTGTTCCTGTTTAATAGTTTTATTTTTTTTATAATATTTGCACAATAATAACAATTTCCTAATAAAATCTATACTCATAAAGTAGAATGCATATTCATTTTAATACATACTTCTAACCAGTATATTTACCTATATAAAGATATTAACAATATACTTTTTTCACCTCACATAGTTTTATTTATCAATAAAATTTTATTTTTCCTCTGTCTAGATACTTTTAGGAGACCATTTACTAAAATGAGAAAACAATTGTTTTTTATCATCTGAAGAATTAAAAAAAAAAAAAAAACCTATTATAAAATGTCTTGCCTTTATTATTATTATCATTATTATTTTTTATCATTATCATCACCATCAATTATAAAAGGGAAAGTACAGTAGTATGCTGTATAATAGTTGATAATAACTGGCTGGCTTGTAAGTCCTCATTTTAAATTATATTCAGTGAATTAAATGAGTTTTTTGAAGTGATTCATTAAGTGGGTGTTTTTACAAAAGACCAAAGGAGATCAATAATATAATGATAAACTAAAACCACAAGAATCCAACTTGTTTGCTTGACCTCAACTACACATAATCCAAGCTGGCATTTACTTAATACCATCTATGGTGAAACACGGAAAAAACAGTAAAAAAATATTCAAATAAAAAATTTGTCATTATTAAAATCAATGTGGACTTTCATGCTTTCTATATATAATTGCTACTGTGCACTGCAGGGTTTAGCCAGAAAAACGAAATAGACCACAGGGGCTGTCTGTTCTAGTACACCGGGGTGTCCACCTACTCGTCTCGAAGGATGTACTGGTTTCTTTATAGTACACACGAGCCATTGTATACACTGGGCCTAAGGTTTATAGTCCTTATCCGAGAAGACTTGTTCTACCACCAGAACCATAGGCGAGCGTGCCGTTTGAACCAGCGCTGATATTATGGCTATAACTTGCGGCGCCCCTGCTAACCGCTCGGCCATTCGACTCAACTAAATGTTTTTAACACGACACGTGTTGTAAGTGAGCTTTCACCGGGTAGGCAATGTTAAACAATACATAATTATAACATAAATATGATTTAGCTTTAGTTTAATATAATATTCGATATATCTGAAGAATATAAAGAATTTGCTAAAGGTTAGACCAGCTCTAATTAGGCTAGGCTGAGCTGATTAGGCCAAGCCGTCCAATATGTCACGGTAAATTTGGCCGTCAAAAGACAGCCGGATTGTTCGCTGGCGAAGCCTATGGTGCACTGTCACTACAGCGATTCCACTACAATTGCTAATGTACAGTAAACTGGGTACGTACTCCTCATAAGCAGTGCATATCGTAGAACGTTATTTTGGCAGCTAGATTTGAGAACGTCATATTGTTGGTTCTGGTACCAGTGACAGTCGGGAGCTTCCTATTGGTCCATGTTTTAAATTCAGCAACGTTGAACTAGTTTCTTCAACTTTCCAAATGGCCAGGGATAAATATCAGCTACCACGGCTGCCAAGAGTGATAGAATAATGACATGCGAATGTCGTTCAAAATATTGTTTTCTCCAAATACAGTACACCTAATATAATTGAAAAAAGGCCTAGGCTCAGAGAAATGTTTTTGTCAATAATCTGGTTTGCTATTTCGGAGTTTTTACCATATATGCCAATATAAAATATAATAAATATATAATACGGTATATATAGATTAAAATAGTCTGTGAGCGGCTCTGGAAAAACCCACTGTTTGTCCCACTTTCTAATTTCGCAAAAGCACCCAGAATGTTTAAGAATCAGAATTTAGAACATTTTCAGGTTTTTGCATTTTATAAAAGAAGATATATAGAAGACCATTTCTGCATAAAAATATCAATCACTAAATCTCACTGTTAAGAATATTAAAATTATTTAGGAAATACAAATCTTAATAATTAAAACTATTGATTTTGGGAAACTTTGGAAGCTGTTTTCTCAAAACCTACGTGGTTGATATTATAAGAATTAAATATTCATAACTTCACTAATACTAAACCAATTTCCAGCAAATAAACACTCTTTTAAAGAAGAATTCATGCAGAATCTTAAACAATACCAAAAAATCAATGTTGAATTTTTTCCTCTACAAACAGCTTGTTTTGCCATATCTGGCCACAAATTTTCGTATTTAATACCATTTATGTTACTTCTTTCGTTATTAATTCCACTGGTCGCTAATCTACTTTGTTAATTATGAAACAATTATTATGGTAGTTTGTCGCAGTATACAGCTGTTATTTTTACTCCCTCTGAGAAAAATCTATTGTTAGTTACCACGTAAGATGTTGGCTATAAACTCTTCATACTGTTAGCATTTTACGCTGTTTAACTTGAACAATGTAACTATTCAACCTGGTATACGTTTCTGAATATCCAAAATCGTTCATGCATATTAATGAGCTTGTCTATTATTATCAACAAAAGTATGTAGCGATCAGGGATAATAGTTTTTGGCATGAATGCGAGATAAAACATGTGATTAAATTAGAAAGCGTATTCAGAACTGTTTATTTTATTACCTAATATAGAATTTATAATTTTAATTTATCTTCAAAGTGAGATTTTTAGGATGATAATAATATAATTTTTATTTACAATACAGCTTTTAATTTCTATTTAAAAGGTAATCTAATTTTGATGTTTATTGGTTCTTTTTTTATTTCTGCTATACATAAAAATTATTTACAACAATATTGTAATTGGATATGGTTTTTTTTAACGATGGTATTAAGTGATGTGATTTAAAATATAAATCAGTTTATCTTCAAAATGAGATCTTTAGGAAAATAATTTTAATGTTATTTTTATATAAAATAATTTCTTTTAGAAAATAATTAAATTTTGTGTTTAAAATTGGATTTGGTTATTTTAGGAAAATGAAATAATGACATTGGGAAATTGATCATAACATTTTATTTTTTTTCTTCTTTTTTTGTAAGTTTTTGATATAAAATCTTACAAATTTATGTTAAAAATGATTCAATTTGATGTATATATTGGTAGATGGCCTTTCATAATTAAAGCTATTTTTTTAAGAAAATGAATTTGGTGTTCAATACTGTATGTTGATCTTGAGTGTAATTCAATAAATTGTAGCATCCAGCTGATAGATATTTATTTATTATAATAAAATATACCTGAATAAAACAATAAATAAAATAGATAGGTATATTCTTGTAACTAATGCAGATGTAGTAAATATTTTTTTTTTATTTATAAGAGATACTTGTGCTTATACAGTATTTAAATACATTATATTCAGTTAGATTTAGATAACACATCAATAAATGAAATAACATTTAATATTTTTCTTGTTCAATCCTCTCCATACGCCTTCAAATCCTAGGTTATTACAAGTGTAACACCAATTGCAGATTTATTTGACAGCTACTAATGTCACATGACCAATTTGAGACATTACTTTGCGAGAATTGTAAATACTACGGACTCTTACCAAAACAATGATGTGCACTTTATTCTCGTAAGAACAGTCTCCACACACCTGATGACAACTTAGTTTATCTATCTTTGTGCTTGACGTTTCTATTATTGGCGTTATGTAGAGTAGTAGGGAAGATTTCTTATTCAGATCCTAATGGAGACCATCTAATAATATAAAATAAAATAATAATATGACAAAATATGATATTAAATTCATATAATGTATGAGGTCATATAATATGATGGTGTAGTATAAAATATCTCAAGAATTAACATTTTATTCATTATTTTTTATTGTAGTTCATTATATTTTATTGTAATATATTGTTATTGTAGTTTTGTAAATATAAATAACAATGCCTTTGTGAGTTTAGGTAGAAGAGGTACTCGCTCTGTAATGTGCAAAAAAGCTTGGGGAAAATCATAGACATGTCCTTTGTAAATTTTAGTATTCAAAGTATTAGCTTTGAAAAAATTAGAATGAGAGAAAATGCTATTATCATTTTGTTAAATGTTAGTGTGAAAATGTTAAATGCTTCCGGTAAGAACATGGTGTCCGCAAGCATGTAACACAACGTTACTTTGCGATGCAAACCTTCAAATAGTACATAATATTTTATAAGTAATATTTATAACAATTTACTCATTCTTTTCATTGCATTTTAATTTAAAGGTATTAGTAAAACATTTGTAAATTATCAATTAAATTATTTATTTCTCATCATTGGAATTTTTTTTTACGAGCTATTTTTGATGTTTTGAAGTGTTTTAATATTTTATGATAAAATATATTTTTTATAGTATGAAAGCAACCAGCACATCTTATGTCAATAAATATTGAGTGAAATATTCGATTATGATATTAAATTATTCATTTGTAAATGTAGAAATTAGTAATTCATGCAAATAAATTCCTAGTATGAAAGTTAAGAGATTCTAGATTAATAATGACCCTATTAGGCTCATTTTATTAGGAAAAACATTCCATATAGAAGAATCCCCCTTTAGATCTGTTATGATTGGACATTTATCAGTCAAACTTGCCTGGTCAGTTTGACCGAAAAGATGCAGTGCGATAGGCCTGCATAGCATTCCTCTTGGTCAAATACCCTAGTCATGTTGTCAAGCGAATCATGCCAAGGATGAATAACTAGGTTGCTTTCCTCAAGCAGAAACATTGACATATCGCAACACGGTTAAATCTTTCTTAGCGGCAGTATTTTGCATTATCATAAATTTCATTGCGTGTTTTGCCCCCAAAAAATTTGGAATACTTTAACATTGCACACTATAATTAATTTTTCCAATTAGAGTCTCATTATATAGTTGCATATTTTAACAGCCATATTTTGCAGTGAATAGTGTTTAACATCGACCTTAGTAAAAAATACTGTGTTTAAGTGTGAACTGTGGTATGGTTTAGTCGAGTTAAAGTAACCCTTTCATCCTGGTCAAAAAATCAATGTTAACATGGCTTAAGTCAGTTTAATCCCATTCCTAGGATGGATATGAGCATCACCAAATAAATACTGTATTCTGTCCAAATGTGTGTTGACACCAAAAACGTTCCTGCCTAATCAATGTGTTGCATTTGAAAATGATTATTCGTTGCTTTAAACAATTCAAATGTTGATTTATTTCTTTAATACCAATCTCATTACTATTGAGTTTTTATTGAATCAAATACATATCATCTCCTGTCATTGAACTGATAACATATTTCAAATTTAAATTCAGAAGTCAGTTAAGATTTAAGTGCGTGACAATATAAATTATAATTCCAAGAAAGATTAGTTTGTACTTCTATGAGCCTTCCTATTAGCATTATTTTGATTAATGTTACAGTAGTTTATTTCCATTTATAATTCCAAGACTAGTTTGTACTTTTCTCGGTGCTGCGTATTTACATAACCTTTGTATTATTATTGGCATTTGATTTACAAAGATGTTATAAGAATTGCTTATGGAATAAATCAACATGCTGAAATTTAAAGCAGAACTTATATTTGCCAAGTTCTATAGTGGTATTTAGAATCAAGGCACCTAATTACGTTTTTATCTGTTAAAGACTAAACAAACTGTATTTGATCGAACAATATTCGATATCTTATGCCTGATTACTTGCAACATAGATTATTGTGACTGATCAGACATTTTGTATTCTGTAGCTGTATATTGATGTTTTAGTCTATTAGATATCTTTTGGGTCTGACAGATGATGGTCTGTAGTGTAAAATGTATGCTTTAGATTTGATATCATATATGTTACATAGATATTGCAATAGTATAGTGCCCAGTAGGTCATAATGTGTTCACATCCCTGTAGTTATATCATTCCCTCCCATTACCTGCAAAGTATGTATCTTTAATCAGCATAGGGAGTCATTAGAATGGCTTTTCACCACCCATCGCAATATGCTAGTTAAAGATTCACCAATTTTGTTGAAAATGATGTTTGCCATACCTAACGTACTAAAGGCTCAGTTCATTCCCAAATACTTGTGAAAAAAATCTTGCAAGTGATTAGGGTAGAATCGAACCCACGACCTCCAGGTAACTAGCCTGGTGTCTTAACCACTAAACCACCGAACTTGTGATTCCCACCTGAATCACTTGCAAGATTTTTTTCGCAAGTATTTAGGAATGTACTGAGCATTCAGTACAGTACTTATATTTCACGTCACATACGGCAAACATCATTTCGTATTACTGTATTTCTCCTGACGCAAGAAAACGCCGGAATCTAATTTTTGTTGTTTGCTTTTTTGTACTTTTTTAAAACTAATTTACATGAATTTTAGATTCATTTTATCAGATTGTCACCTTTGTTTCTTATTTGAATTCAAAACATCTTCATTATCCCTAGGTTATTCATTCAAAATAATATAATGCATCCCTAACTTCCTCAATATATAATATTTTCATTTCCCCAATTAATGTCTTCACATACCAACAGAAAAGGACAAAAATCATTTTGCTGTACTTGATAACCATTATTATTCTAATTTTTATAATTTGATATTTAATAATATCGTGTTTCTCTTTTTAGATTTCAGTTGAGGAAACGATCGCAGCAACAGCGTATGTAGAACTCTTCATTCGCAGCATAACCGAACCAAGTCTGATGCGAGTTTTTTTGCGATTCCTCTGCACCGCAAAGCACGAGAATAAATTTATTCTTGACTCGTTAATATCACGTATCGGCAGTAACTCCAGAGTAAGTGAAAAAAATACTTTTCTTATAATGTCAGTGGGACAAATTAAAAATGTAATAATTGATTGTGTATCAGTTTTTATTTAATATTTATTTTTGTTGTTTTTATTTATTTTATTTTTAAAAATTTATTGAAGATTTGATTATGTTTGCTAACATATCCTGAAGTGCTCATAAGGCATTATTACAAAAATAGTTTGTTGTTTTGTCGCTTTTCTTCTTACCTAACCAGATAAGCGACAACTGTATGTCTATCACAAGCCTTTACACATACAGTTCTTATTGTTTACAAAAAAAAAGGTTGGGATTTCACAGGCTTTCTTTGGTTTGCATTGTGAAAATAAACATATTTCAAATATGAGGAGACTCCAAAAAAAAAGAATCTGCGTACATAAAAATCTGACTTTTACACCGATAATGTATGTTTGAAAAGTTAATGGTACATTAAGAACGAAGTGATATGTTATTTCACGGTCCATTAGGTTTTGTTAAATGATGCTTACAAAGTGTGAACACTTTAAACGGTGCTTCTCATGAACTTGAAATAACTTGGCACCATTTTGCTTTAAAACATCGGAAGCAATCATCTTTAATGTATGTTACAAGTGCATCATGGCACAACGGTAACTTGTTAATCATAAAATAGCGCTTTTTTTTTTCCTGGTTCAAAGTAAGCCGGTCCAAGCTTGTTTCTTAGAATCATTTACTTTTTTAGGCACTTAACTGATTTCCATCACTTCATGCTATCATCGTAAGTTTTTGGCGATGCGTATTGGCTGCTGGTCAAATTGGGAAGGGTTCCTTCCGAATTGCATCAGGGACAGTTATGAAGTGTAATAATTACAATGAAAACATTGTAGCAACAATAGATTTATGGGAACCAGGACTTAGCCTTTGGTCGTATGTGCATAGTAGCTCTGAGCTCTCATTTGCTTTGACGATATTCGCAGCCGTCGGCGACACTGTCTTTTAATGATGATGGTCATCATTATCATTATTATTCATTCCTATGCATACAGCCTAGTAAAACATAATTATGAAGCTTTTATGACATTGACACAAACATTAAACCTTTTACCTAAAATCTATGTATATGTAAAAAATAATCTCTCCATCAAAAATTTACTTTAATTTAATTTATACTTGAAGAAATATTATAGTCTAAAACTTTGTCCACACTATTAAATTTTATGTGACAATTAAATGTGATATGCCCAATGTTTAGTATGACATCATCATTTGTCACATAAAATTTGATAATGTGAACACAGCAATGTTTTTTGCATAATGTATAAGAATGATAAAAGCCTCTTCAGTGTCTAAAGCTTTGCATAGGCTTAGACTATATTAAGTATTATGTGACAAACAAATGTGATATGCCCAATGTTTAGTATGACATCATTTGTCACATAAAATTTGATAATGTGAACATAGCAATGTTTTTGCATAATGTATAAGAATGATAAAAGCCTCTTCAGTGTCTAAAGCTTTGCCTAGGCTTAAGACCATATTAAGTATTATGTGACAAATGTGATATGCCCAATGTTTAGTATGACATCATCATTTGTCACATAAAATTTCATAGTGTGAACACAGCAATGTTTTTGCATAATGTATAAGAATGATGAAAGCCTCTTCAGTGTCTAAAGCTTTGCTTCTAAAGGCTTAGACCATATTAAGTATTATGTGACAAACAAATGTGATATGCCCAATGTTTAGTATGACATCATCATTTGTCACATAAAATTTCATAGTGTGAACACGGCAATTTTTTTTGCATAATGTATAAGCACCTCCATGATATAAGAATGATAAAAAGCCTCTTCAGTGTCTAAAGCTTTGCCTAGGCTTAGACTATATTACACGGCAATTTTTTTTGCATAATGTGTAAGAATGATAACAAAAACCCCTTCAGTGTCTAAAGCTGTCCAAATTATCAAAATTTTAAATGGTCATGATGTGATGTCATCGTAATCATGATTAGGCATTTGGTATGTATTTGTCAAATAAAATTTGATATCGTCTGGACAATTTGATAGTCTGGAAAATTCATTTGTAAAAATTATTTTTATTTCCTCTGGAGCCTACAGTAGCTATAAAAAAATTGCTCAATGTGCCATACTTCTATCGGTATCATTTTCTTGGCAAATATGTTGTTTATGATTGATAGGACTGTAGTTTATTATCGCTTCATGTTTATCGTTTGTTTTGATGGAAGTTAATGGTATAACTAATGATGTCTGTCCTATTGAGTATGTTTACATTAGCTTGCAGTCTCTGCATCCCTTGGGAAGGGAAATTGTGCCTATGCTGGAATCGCTGGAATGATAGGTTAATGCAATATGATTGGTAGAGAAATTAATGATTAAATAAACAAATAAAAAAATGTATTATCATTAATAATTTTTGGAATGATTAATTAAATGTATCATAATTAGTGTAAAATTTAATATTCAAGTAAATGTGTTAGGTGAGACATTTTTTATACGCTTGTTTAGCAAACCCGCTAAGTAAATAAAAAATAATATAGCAAAACTAGTAAAAAAGTTTTAAGAGGATACACTACGGTCCCATTTTCTTCTTAATATACTTGTTTATGTCGTGCACAATTTAAGTCTTTTGCACAATTTTCAAATCGTGCAAGCTCTTCCTTGCACAATTTGCAAACTGTGCAAGTTCTTCCTTTGCACAATTTGCAAACTGTGCAAGGATTTCTTTACACAATGTGAAATTTATGTAGTTATATTTATTTGATGGTGGTAAATCCTTAATAAATGCAATTTTTATTCTTATTATTTCAAGTTGTAAATACAGACTGTTGTGACGCACACTCTCACATGGCCTACTGTAGCCGGTAGCCTAGGCTTAGATCTTTCATCATTGCAAGCTCCAATCGCTTAAAAACATCGGAATATTGCCGTATATCTCCCGAAAAAAATACATTATTTTGATTTATAATCTAATAATAAGTTAATATCAACATCAGTAAATAAGTTTAAATGTCACGTTTTACAATAATTGATGAAAAAAGCCTTTCACAGTTTGCATACTGCAAATGTGCAAAAGTAACAAAATGCGCACAACATTTATATTATTACAGTTGAACTTGCCTAAGTCGAATCCAAAATGCCATTGAAATATTGTTCGACTTAGATAAAATTTGACTTACAGATTGTTAAATAATGGAGAAAACTATAATTTGGCATGTAAAATAAGATTGACTTAGAAATTATTCGACTTAGAAATTATTCGACTTAAGCATAGTCGACTTATGAAAGTTTAACTGTATTACTGTTATTATTATTTTATGAAGTAGGCCTATTAGCTGGAAATTTGGTAGGGAGATGCTGAATACAAAATTCACTGTCGAGTCAATAGATCTATACTCAGAAAAAAAAACTAACATGTGGACATGGTATTACGACCTACTGTGAAAGAATTTCGATAAAAATGTTAAATTTGCTTAACTTTGAGATGGTGATAGGCTGTCCTGACTAGCAGTAAATATTTTATGGTGAAATGTGGTCCAATGTTATCCAGGTTTGAATTTAAGAATGAGACAAATGTTTAGTCTCTAAATTCAATTGTCATACCGTGGGCTTATTTTTACCAGGACATAGGATAGCATCTGAAATGCAGACTAAACTATGGTGGGTACTGTTAGCGCTTACAGGGATGTAGATGGTGAGCCCACCCAGTCTTGAAGCTTTCCACCTACAGTAGTCTAAAGCTTATTTCATTGCCCTCCACCCACCTTATTAACCCACTTTTCTCCATCCTTCAAATCTTCTTTTATTATTTTAGAGTTTACCAATGTTATTAGGCACCCACCCTCAAAATGTCTATAATCACCCACCATTAGTTTTCTTCCGCTAAAACCCAGTTCTTATACTCAACCATGGGCTTAGCTCGGTCACGCATGATTAACCCCTTCACTGCGCATACCCAGTAGTATTGGGTGGTTAAAAAAATAAATGTTGTTGAATTGCGCGTACCAGTAGTACCGGGTATATGAAAATAATTCTTTTTAAAATTGTTCCCGTACTGCAGGCGCCATCTATATTTGTTTCTATGAACTAAGGTAATTTCTACTGAATTATATGGAGTAATGACTAATTGTTGCGAAAAATCTTTTTTGTCTGTTTTTTAATAAAATGATAAAAATAAAACTATTGATTTTTTTATTCATTTTATGTATCTTCACCATTATTAAGTGAAAAAAAAACAGCATCCCATAAGAATTTCTATCTTTTTTACAGATTTATGCAAAAAGGGATTTCCATTATGGCTGCCCTAAGGTCACATGACCACCTAATTAAAAATTTCAATTTCAATTTTTTTCCTGTAGGCCAACATCTTTCCCACCCCAACACACAAAAACAATTTCAAAATAACCTCTTTTAATATTTTTTCTGGCGTTTATTTCAAAATGACCTCCTTCATTTACCTGCAGCAGTGAAATGTCCTATCTAGAAAGAAAAATATACTCATTGGTTATTGTACTTGGATGTTAGCATTTCTACCAGATTGTATCAGTGTTTCACATCATTTAAGAAAAAAAAAATGACAAGCTGAGGAACATGTTGTTTAATTGGACTAATGTACTGTGAACCCATCAGGGAAGTGTAATTAGCATAATTTGAAATTAAAAATGTCAAGTCCATGTGACATTTTGCCCATATGGTGGTTCATCAACCAGGATTTTCCATTGCCTCTTAATTAGAATTGCTAACAAATTGATATTCAACCTGGTGTTAATTCATCTTCCTTCCAATTATGGTTTTTTTATCCATTTTAAAATTGTATTATTTTGTAATCTGAATTTGAAAAATTTCTAACGAATTGATATTAAACTTGGTGTTAGCACATCTTTCTCTCAATTATGTTTTTTTTTTAATCCATTAAATATAAGTTGTATATTATGTTTTTTTTTTAATCCATTAAATATAAGTTGTATTATTTTGTAATCTGAATTTTTGAAAATGACTAACGAATTGATATTAAACTTGGTGTTAGCTCATCTTTCTCTCAATTATGTTTTTTTTTAATCCATTAAATATAAGTTGTATTATTTTGTAATCTGAATTTTAAAAATTTCTAACGAATTGATATTAAACTTGGTGTTAGCTCATCTTTCTCTCAATTATGTTTTTTTTTTAATCCATTAAATATAAGTTGTATTTTTTTTTAATCTGAATTTTAAAAATGACTAACGAATTAATATTAAACTTGGTGTTAGCTCATCTTTCTCTCAATTATGTTTTTTTTTTAATCCATTAAATATAAGTTGTATTATTTTGTAATCTGAATTTTAAAAATGACTAACGAATTAATATTAAACTTGGTGTTAGCTCATCTTTCTCTCAATTATGTTTTTTTTTTAATCCATTAAATATAAGTTGTTTTATTTTGTAATCTGAATTTTTGAAAATGACTAACGAATTGATATTTAACTTGGTGTTAGCTCATCTTTCCCTCTATTATGGTTTTTTTTTAATCCATTAAATATAAGTTGTATTATTTTGTAATCTGAATTTTTGAAAATGACTAACGAATTGATATTGAACTTGGTGTTAATTAATCTGTGTTCCAATTATGAGGGAGGGGCTATTTTTTTTTTATGAATATACATTAGCAGCAATCCACAAATTTGTGTTGGACTTTTGTTACTTTAGCAGTGCCATGCTTTAAGGCACAACTGGGATTGCATAGGCTACAAACTCGCACATTCCCACTGAGCAAAATCCTATATTTACAAGTAGTTTTCAACATCATGGACAAAGTAAATCAAAACAAAAAAATTGTTCCAAAAATTATATATTTTCAATTTCATTCATAAAACAAAAATTTTTTAAAATTAATAATTTTTAATAGGCCTATAGTAAATATTAAACCTGGTTGGTGAAATCATTTTTTTTTAAAATTCACTTCAAATAGGCCTCTGCTTATTTTGATTAGCATTTCTAAGACAATTTTAATTTTTTTTTTAATTAAAAAAAATAAAAATCCAGCCTCCAAATTTTTAATTTTTGCTCAAAAATTCAGGTGGGGGAACGCTAAACAAGAGTGTATTTTTTCATTTGGCCTTACTGTATGTAATTGTGCCAAATTATAGCCAGAGATCTGCCTTGTTACAGTATCAGTTGTATCTTAACCTTGGTTTTCTTTGGATTGATATACTGTATATGTTACTAATTGAATGGTGGCGCTTTCCCTTTAAGATTATGAATTAAGAAGGGAATGGAATATGGGGTATTCATCAGAGACTATAAACAGACTGATCACTACCACACCCTTCATAGTATCTTAGTCATCATTTAGTCTTTGTTCATTTTAGCTATTAAAGGGGGATTCTTAGTCCACATTATAACAACAACAACAACAATGTAGCCTAAAGTATTACGTCTGTTTGGTTCCATTGTCAAGGACTTAGTTTGAAAGGCTTGCCTATTTGTTTACTCAGAAAGTACGAGAAGATATCCTTACGTTTCATTAAAGCTGAATTGAACTATAATTTCTTAATACACAATTGTAAAACTTTCAGTGTTTTCCCAAAAAAGAAATAAAATATTAATAATAATAATAATATTTTGGTACACCATGTTTAAGAATATGGTTTTTGAGGTAAAACCACTGGTTGATTTTAATAATATAAAATAATATAATAATTTCATGGCATTGAGATTAACAGTTCTTTTGCGATTTTTGTCATTGTCTTACAGCTATGTCTTGTTACGTTGTCGTTATTCTACACACTGCTGGATATCAACTGCGAAGACGTAATGCTGCAATTAATTCTAAGGTATTGTATATCCAACGCCATTAAATGATATTGAACAGATTAAATGAAAGTACTTTCCAGAAATTGGATTTGATGCAACCTTTAATATTATGACATGATTGATACTAGAAATTCTACTTGAAAAATTTAGATTCTCTGGTTGTTTTTTTTTTTTTTTTGATAATTTCCTAGAAAGCTCATATAGTATTGCAAGTTAGACTTTACTTCCTCTTTTCAAACCATTTCATTAATGTTTTATTCAGAATTTCTTTTAGTCTTATTTTTTTGCACCATAGTTCTCCCTCTAATTAAGGGCCTTCCAATCAAACAACCTCCAATTAAAAACCACTTTTCTGTGGTCCCAAATTAACAAATGTTTTTATCTTTATTATTCATAATTGACCAAAGCTGCTAAGGACCATCGAAAGAGTGGTCCCCAGATTGGTCTTTAATTTGAGGAAGATTTGTATTTAGAATAGTGTTAATTACTTTTACATATTGATGACTTAAAGCGATGAGAAATAGCTGTTAATAATATTTCTTTCAAGTTGAGTTTAGAAATACCTCCTGGTAAAGGTAAAGGAGTGGAGTTGAATACCTATCTTTGTGGTTAGGATGCTTGCTTGCCTTCCAATCCAAGGGTCCAGGCTTAAAATCCCTGTCACTGTTAAAAAGAATTTTTTTCTCACGATCACAACTCCACTTTCTAAGCCTCAGACTAAGTCTTGTCTGTATGTTTCCCATGTGAAAGGGATTTTCACCTATGGACAGTTTGTTATTTGCAATCCTTGTAGGCAGGCCTGGAAAAATACATTATACAGTCTCTGACCATGAAAATTGTATCGATAAATTTCCCCCAGCATCAAATTTTATCTGTACACTATATATACCATATATAGCACAACAGTTTTTTTTTTTATTTTCCCCCTAAAAATGCCACCGGGACATTCATGGAGTTAATTTGCTGCCATGGGGGTGTGCCAGCCTACGCCTCTGCCTTTATCCATGTGTTTACATTTGATAGCGAATAAAATCAAGAAAAATTATAATGAAAGGTTGTTCTGTATTCATTATTGAACATAGGGAATGAGCTGTTAGGATCCACTTCCTTTCTGTACCAACCTTTTAACATTCGAGTATATTTCAATCATGTTTCAATTTATTTTTTTATTTTCTGTATGTATAGTTCATGAACGAATAGGTCTTCGAGCATGATAGGTGATTTATATGTTTCTTTTGTTTTATAGATACCTTGTTCCCTGCACGCACCTTATGGTGAGCCAAAGAAAGTCTGTAAAAGATGTTGATCTTGATGGCCGTTGTGCCAGTAAGTTCCTGTCATTGTCACCTGACTGCTGCCAGTCAAAGGTCAAGCCTCTAAACGGTATTGACAAAAAATTACAGAGTAAGCCAGTCACGAAAGAAACTTGTGATGAACCCGTCAATGACCCTGATCTTACTAACAACTCAGTGTTACTAACAAAGAAAAGTGAAGTTGTACTTGGTGGTTCTCCGCAGTTTTCTAAACGTCTGTTCGGCCAAAGAAGGCACAGTGATTCGCGGTCATCCGGTGGTTCATCGTCATTGAATCAATCTATTAATGGATTGGATGATATTCTGGATGAAACATTGTCCGATTTTGTCACGAGTCATAACGAATACTTGCAGGATGCGAGTGACGGTATTTACAATTGCGTGCTCGGTTGTTCAAGCTGGAGCGCCCCCTACGATGGGGAGAACCCACGTCCGTTTACCCACAGTCACGATACAGACAGTGTGTCTTCATCAGAAGGACGACCGTTTCATACATCTCGCTCGAACAGTCCCATGGAGCGGTCAAGCAGTTTTGTGCGTACACCGGAATCCAACCGTAAAGGCTCGTTATCGAGTCTAAGCTCCAGTTTTTCTGAGAGTTTAAATAGATCAGTTCCTTTTGGGTCGGGATTTGAAGGGAATGCGAGCCCTCGGTTGCCACGTGGCTCAGACCCAATTGTCCAGGATACTATACAAGAAATTTTACAATTTGAAACTGGTTCAGGAAGCTCTGGTGAGAATCAGGTCATTGAGTTAGCAGATTTGAATTCAAGTATCGAGGAAGTTTTGAATTACGAGCGGGGAATCTCCGATGAAAGAAATTCCTTTGGTAGTTTTTACAGTGATAGCTCGCATTTAAAAGTTAATCGCTCGAAAAATCTGGCAACAGATAAAAAGAAAGGAAGCCGGTTGTCCAAAGAAAATAAATATTCTCAGAGTAATGGAACGAGCCATGCAGATTCTGTTATTAATTCTACGAGTAGGAAAGCTTCAGGGAGTCCGATATCGTCTCCGAGAAGCCAAGTAAAACGCTCAAATACATTTGAAGGATTTAGTTCCAAGTATGATCAAAATCAAGATGGCTCCTCGCTTTCAAAATGGCTGACCGCATTAGGAGAAGATGGAAGTAGTGAGCATCTACATCTTGGAGATGATGAGAAGAAGGATGCGCTTGAAAGAACGTTAAGTCGAAATGAATCAATGAATGCAAGTGATGACGTTCAAGTGTTTTGGAATTATGATTCGGATTTTGATACCTCTAAAACTTATCGACAGCGATCTTTTTCAGGAGATACGTCTAATGAGGCTGAGAAAATTTTAACCGCTTTAGGATTTAATACTAAGAAAGATCAAGAGACTAGCCCAAAAACAGGCCGAACGAAACGTGGCACCTTAAGTAGCATGAGTTCATTTAGTGAATCCGATTGGGAATTCGACGGGAGGAGTAGTCCGTTGCAGAATGGTGTTAACTCACCGCAGCATAGCCAGCGGCGTAAACTTCCTAACATTCCAATGCACAGCTCACCACAACCAAAGAAAGTGCTGCACGTAAACGGAAACTTGCTCGACGATCTTGACTTCGAAAATGAACTCGGGAAACCGCAGCAATCTACGCTGGATTCCATAATACCGCACCTAGCCCCAGGGTCAGTCATATCTGGGCCACTTCTTCCAACACCGCTTATTCAACAAGTCATGTTTAGCCCAATCAAAAATAACCCTATGACCCCAACGACAGGTGAGTTTGATACTGTAGTTTTATTATTGTTGCTGTTTGATGTTGTGATGTTGCATATGAATATTTTTGTATATTCATTAATGATAGTTTGAGTAATTACAAATTCAAGTCAATATTTTTCTTAATTCAAAAATTTTCATTAACTTGGCTACTGTATTCTAAAAATTTAATATAAACTGTCCATCCAAATCTATAGGTGCACTGCTAAATCCATTACATTCAACCTTCAAAATCCAAACTTTTTTGCATTAGATGTATTTCATGCACAACCGCAGATTTCAAATATAACAAATATAAGGCTCACATGATAACATTTGATTTTCAAACTTTTCAGTACGCAAGACTTGATTGGCTGGCCATTCATGTGTAGTGAAAAGTTGTGTTGTGTAGTCACATATAGTCAGATGACCTATATGTAACATTAAACAACATTATTGTTATACGGTCACTTAATTTTATTATACTGTAGTTTACAATGTTGACAAATCCTATGATGTCATAATAATAATAGATGGATTTATAGTGCAAAATAAACAAGGTCTTTATGCGCTCGGGACTACTGTAAATGTTGCCCTTTTCAATAACTTTCACCTCCCCCTGAGGGTCACTTCATGTCCTCCGCAGCCAGTAAACCGGCGCACTTTCATCTGTCCACAACAGGGGCCGAGTGAACTAGTAAACCGGTTTAACCCCCTACTCATCACGAAAGATGTACTGGGTTCTTTAAAGTGCACATGAGCATTTGTGTACACTGGGTCTACGGTTTATAGTCCTTATCTGAGAAGACTTGTTCCACCACCAGAACTATAGGAGCGAGCCAGCCAACCTGTGCCGATATTGTTGGCTATGATCACGGTGCCCCTGCCTTAACTGCTCAGCCATTCCAAATTCATCTTTATTTCAATCAATTAAAACACAGTATAATGATTGGAAAAAGGGGCAAGTAAACAGTACTGAAAAATTAATTAAAATACACATTCCAAAGACATCAATTAGATAATTAAAATACATGAAAAAACACCAGAAACACAAAGAAAGTATATTATAGCAAATTGGCTATAAAGATTAAGGAACATTATGACAGTGGCACTTATTTGTCACCTTATCTAGTCTTTTATAATATTAACTCATCTGATGACGTTGTATGCTCTATGGTCACTTAATATTGGCAAATGACATGATAAAATAATAATAATATGTAACACTTTTAACATAAAGTGACAAAGCGTTTTACATCGAAATGAACTAGTGTGATTTAAAAGAAAGCATAACTTAAAATAAAACAGACACCGATAATTTGCATACACCCCCACAGATTGGGGATAAGACCTTAAATTTGTTAGAACTTAAATGTCTACCTTACAGTAAATCATTTGGGAACAATTGCATTTTACGAAATTCCTTAGGGGTCGTTCACGATTTTCACCATTTTTACAAGTGTAAAAACAGTATGCTAGGGGGAGGGAGGGGAGGGATAGACAAGTTTGTACACTTATGTGCATGAAAATTTTGATTTGAAATATCATGCAGTATTCAAGAATAATAGGTTTTAATGACAAATCATAATGCAATCATGATAGTGGAACCATTTTTAATAGACATAGAATGAAAACGAAGTAAGTATTTTAGATAACACATCAAAAATGGACAATGATTTTTGTGAAATGAACATTTTTTATGTACACTTTCAGAGGGGATGGAAGGGGTACCAAAAAAGAGTACTGTTGTTCACTTGCGAAAATGTTGGTACTTAATATCTCGACGAGATTCGATTGACAGATAAGCCAACTAATCAGCGAGCGTCATTTAGTCACATGATAAAAAACTTTTTCTCAAACATTTTAATTTCCTTAGACAGCTGGTTTAAACGCGAAACATACGTGAGCCTGGGCCTAGATGTCTATGCTTGGTTATAGATACCCATATTTACACGAGCAGTGCACATCAGTGACTTGGCCTTTGCCGACAACAAGGTTGAATGAATGTAGCTTTTTCCCTCTTCTTTTGGGAGCGAAATACAGAGGCTTTTACAACAATTTCCTCGCCATGTTCCATGAAATAGATTAACACTATGAATATATGATACATTTGCATACCGCCTACCCTGAATTCTCTTTCTTAAAGAAGGTTGATCATAGCAAAGAAAATGTTCGCCAACTCGATAAGTCTAGCCGCCATTGTCTAAGGTTTTCGTGACTTTGTGGGCGGGGCTTTGCGTCCTTGTCGACATGTCAATTGTGAACTACTGTACCCCTTTAACATTTGAACTTTTGGTAAATTTCATAAGGACCCAGCTTGGAGAATGCTTGTTTTTTTTTTGTGTAGTCTGGTCACATGATATTGTCATGATCAAGTCATAAACAGTAACAATTGATTAGTCTCCTGATCATTCACTTACATGATATACAGTAATAAAACATCATTAAACTTAATATGTTAATCCTGTTTTCTAATTGGTAGATTATTGTTCCTAGATCCCTGCAGTTTAATGTTACTGTGCATATTATTATTACTGTAGTCCCTATTAATTATTATGTTCGCCAGTTGAGTAGGTATCTCATTGGTTACCATTATGTCATTACAAGGAGGTTGTAGTGAGAATGTGTTTTTTTTTTTTTTTTTTAGTGAGAATGTTTTTTTTTTTTTTTTTTTTTTTTTTTTTTTTCATGTGAGCTTTGACAAATTAATCTATATGTTCGACAATACTTTCATGTTATTTATACAGAGTTGGTTAGCCTTTTCAAGGTCATTATCAACATTGTTATTGTCAGGCCTCATATTTGGGGATTTTATTGGCAAGCACATGTTTACAACTACATTTTTACTGCAATTACCACTCGAGTCAGATGCATGCGCACACAACGGTAACCGCAAAAACCGTTCGTATCAACACACATGGTAATTCTCTCATGTTCTGTCACTGCCACCTTATCTAGGCCTAGGCGACCTACATTTTTGGCTTTCATGTTTTCATTTGTTCTTATTTTGATTTATTTTACGTTTTAAACAATCTATATTAAGCATCATGAGGGCACCGAGGCCAAGGCTGCAAAAGGGCAGGCAAGTAGTGGCCATCGTCGTGCTTCATTTTCAGGGGCACCAAGGCCAACTGGGAGGGCACTGTTGGCAATGGCTGCGGTGGCCGCAGTAAAATTCGAGGCCTTCGTTGTTTATTCTTTGCTACTCTTTATGACCCTCATATGTTTACTACAGTATATATTGTTTACAAGTAGGATTTGGCATTTGGAGAAATTAAAATCTCTTAAATCTGATGATGGATTTAACCACTGTTTGGTTTAAAAAAATTCTACTCGAATGTTGGTTATTCAATTCAGTGCGTATTCATCATGGGCCATGAAAAGGGAAAATTTTCCATCTTCACTAAAAAATACACTTATGCATTTAAACATTCACAATGATAACAGTGATATTTTAATAGGGCTACTGTTTGCAATGATCTTTACATTTTGTAAAAATATATAAATATTATACAATATTGCAGTACCCGCTGATACTTGGGGATCGGATTCAACACCGGCCACTATGCACAAGTTTGGTGGTCTGATGATTAAGTCACCAGACTAATTATCTTGAGGTCCTGGGTTCAATTCCCACCCGAATCACTTGCAAGATTTTTTTCCGCAAGTTTTGGGGAATGTAGTGAGCATTCAGTATGATGACACATCAGGTGGGGCAAAATATTATTATTCCCAGTATTGTACACATGAAAACAATTAATGTACCGTTGATAAAATTGTGCCTAGTCCCTACACTATTTTATAGTGTTCACTGATCATTCCTAAGACATAAATGCAAAAATTGCTTTTTAAGCATTAGATGAGTAATTATTTGGATGGGGAAATCAGAAAAGAACTCCCCTGTAAAATAGAAAGTAATTTTAGTATTAATATTTATATATATATAATAATAATAATATATAATATATCACACTGAGATGGGATTTTGAAGCCTTACACTAGTAGTTATCAACCAGTTGTAAAAGTGGCCTCAGAGGTTATTTCAGGGCATCTAGAAAACAAAAATTTCCCTGGACTCACCTAGGTTAGGGTTGTCTCTCGATTGGGCCCCCCCCCACACCTTTTTTGACACCTCTGAATCTGTCCCTGTTCAGTCCTACTGTAAGACTTGAATGCTGAAGGTCGCCTTGTGAATAGAAAGTAATTTTAGTATTAATATTTACACTGATATCGGATATCACACAGCCTTAGTTGATCGCTTGAAGAAATGAGTTGTAGTTTAAGTCAGTCAGTAACATGGCATGATGCCATCCAAATTGTGTCACCCTGGTAAGACTATCCAGTGCACAGGAAGTATCAAGACCTGTGTAATATCGTTTCTTTATGGCCAACTTTGATGTCATAACATCATGCATAAGTTGCATTGTTTTTATTACCATTATTATTTTCAATTCCTGTTGGATTTGCCTACAATTATAAACACAAAAAAAAAATTATGCGGTGCTTAATATTATTGTTGAAATATTTTTCCCTTTTTCACAATTTCATAAAAAAATTATTAGAATTTTCATTAATTTCTGAACTAATTAAAATGCAATGTTACAACTGTGTGGAAATGCTCACTGTAAACATATTATTGCATTGTATTTTGAGTAAACAAAACAATTAATTTTTTACTATTTTACATAAATTTACTACAGAAATGTTAAAATTTACCAGCCAATATGCAAGTATGTAAATAGGAATGACATTTTTTTTATGCTACTTAATATTATAGTCAATTAATAGCATAAAAAATATAGTATAGGAGGGACATTTTTTATGCTATTTTATTTTATTTATTTCTATTTTACCCTGAGTGACCTGATCAGTGCAAAAAGCATTATTATCCTCCTGGGGCCAGCAGTTAATTAGTAATTAACTACGGTAATATTGTCTTTCAGTTTTCAATATTAGAATCTTAACTTAAAATGTACAAACTGGGCAACTCATATTTAGAATTTTATTTTAACAGAGAAACCATTGTTAAATGCAAAGGGGCATCAAGTACTTACTTGGGAGTTTACTATCATTTTGATTGCCATGCCAGACAAAAATATCAAAATATACAGACTTTAAGTCTGTATATTTTGATATTTTTGTGTGTAAACAACTGTCTGTTTATTCAATGTAGACAGCATTGCTAGAAGCAAATTGACATAAAATAATTATTGTTAGACTTTGTCTTTTCTTTCAGTATTATTTTTATTACTTTTTTAATCATGCCAGACAACAAAACAAAATATACTGAGTTATATTTATTCAACATACCTGTAGACAGCATTGCAGCAAAATTATTACTAAGGTTTTAAAATATGACTCTAGTACTGAAGCTCTATGTAAACTAAACTGGAACAGACTTGTCACAAAATTGTTCTATAATGAAGCTGTGACAATGTATACAGAATTATGAATAATTTAAGCCCACAATATCTTATAAACAGATTTCATACCAAAGAAAAAATACATAATACTTGATCAAAAGACAAACTTTATCTCTGTAAACCAAGTTTTTCTTATCAAGGAACAAAAGTTTGGAACTCTTTAGCAGATGAAGCAAAAAATGCTGAAGATCTAAAGAGTTCCAAAAAAATTGTGTCAAATTTTTGCAGTGTTGTACTATAGATAATTTTAGTTTAAATTACTGTTACCAGTACTTCTCTTTTTTTTTTTTTTTTGCTTTTAAATCTTTTGTTTTGCTATAGTAGTTTAAGGACACGGCCTCTTGGAAGACCAGTCTTTGTAAAAAGACTGAAATGAGTTTCTGTGAATAAATAAAACTCTAATTATTATTATTATTATATTATGTATGCTTAAAAAAAACGCTTTTCACTACTGTAGCTACTCAACCTGGGGATCATAAGCGCTAGACTTTACTATACATTTCCAGTCTATATTCGTCCCGTGGGGTTACAATCAGTCTGCTTGTGATATACATGCATTTCCCCCCTAACTGTGCCATGTTACTCAATCAGCTTGTTGTTGACCTACTGTTGTGCATGAGTAACTGGAACAGCTAGGCCATGTGGAAGGTTAATAACTCGTCCGCGGAAGAATTCAATAGGAAACAGAGTGTAATAGAGGCCTTGAGGGAAATAGAAGCCTGCTAGGGGTCTTCAGGCAAACCGTAGCCTGCTAGAGGCCTTCACGCAAACAGAAACGTGCTAGAGTCTTCTGGCAAACAGAAACGTGCTAGCGGCCTTCAGGCAAATAGAAGCGTGCTAGGGGCCTTCAGGCAAACTTAGAGCGTGCTAGAGGCCTTCAGGCAAACAGAAATGTACTAGGGCTTTCAGTCAAACGGAAGTGTGGTAGGTGGCTTGAAGGCAAACAAAAGCATGCTAAGGGCCTTCAGGCAAACTGTACCGTGCTAGGGGCCTTTTGGCAAATGAAAGTGTACCAAAAAACCTGGGAATACAGTGTCTCTAAATGATCACTACAGATTGGTGTATTAATATAAAAAGTTACTGTATATTGTTTTTTCAGTAGGAGGTAATTTGTGATTACAGCTGTATTACTATTAATATATTCAATGTTAATTGTTAAACATGAGCCCATCTTTTCATATGCTTCACTTCAAATTCATTTTATTCCATATATTTCTTTACCACATGTTAATATTATCTATCTTTTTTTTTTTTCTTACAGGTCCATTTATCACTGCAATATTCAACAAGCTAGACACCATGATGACAAACTCCCTCTATGTCAATCTCTTAGTCACTGGTATTATCACAAGATTAGCCTACTACCCCCAGCCACTGATCAGATCATTTGTGCTCAACACCAATATAGTTATGCAGCCAAGTATACGCTCAATGATCCAGGTTTGTATTTGATTTTGAGAATTAGATTTTATTTTTTAAACTGTAATATACTGTATTGCTTAATGCAAGCAGACTCAATGTATTTTATGTTTTTGAGTCACTGGATTCATATGCTGTAGATCTTACTGGAGTATCTGACCAAATTACACTACCGGGAATATGTGCTTGTCCCAAAATTGAATCAGAACACCCCTTTGATAAAAATAGAACAGTCCGACCCAGAGTGCCATGTACAAACCATCTCCCTATCACACATCCTCATTCCCTTTTCGACGTTGTATGTTAAAAGAGCTCTTTTGTGCTGTAGGATAAGCCTAAAGCGTTAAGCCACTAGAAACAAGATTTTGTTTCTTTGTTGACTACTGCAAGAAGATGGTTATTAATTTTTCTCGGATTTTTCAGGAAGTTTTAGAGAGGATGACATATCTTTTATTTAAGCTCGATTTGTAGTTGCTGTCGTTATGTCTGCGCGCAAGTCATTTTGCTCGGCGTCTGGGGCCCCAAACTCTGTATTTTGCTCTTATTTGATGTGAATGCAGGTTTAACCATTTCCACTCCATGTAGATGCTACTGTAGCTTCAAGTTATTCTACAATTACCTGCAAACACTAAAAAGTTCAGTTTCAAAATTAAAAAAAGAAAACATTTTGTTATTAAACATTTGTATTTAAATTCCGTAAGTATTCTTTTAGATTATTTTGTACAGAACTGGTCTAATTTCCATTAAATAATTTTTTTCTTTCCAGGTTTTAAGTTCTGTTCGGAATAAGCTTGACAGCTATGCAAGCACTATTGATAATTTTGAGTACTTGTTGTTGCGCGCAAAACGGTACTTGTTTGCGCGTGAAGAGCAGGCGTTCTCCACACATCGTGGACGGGAGTTCTCACTGAGAGAAGATCACTTCCGAGAGGAGCACACAAGAAAGAGTGCTACACTTGATTCACCCATCAATAAATGTAAATATACTATTTACTAGATATTTATTATTTCAGTGTTTGTGGAATATTTTTTTCTCTACTAACAAGAGAGTGAACAACTGGTGGCGCTATTTAAAATAATTGTATGGTGATGTTTTTTGTGGACATTGTATCCAATCTGTCAATTGTATTATAACCATGCTGCTAAATAGTAACAAAAGTCATTAATTAGTGTGTAACATGATAAAACATTATCAAATTATGATACAGAAATATTAATTAATAATTCCCTTTTGAATCAAAAAATATGATGTGTTATTAATTTTTTCAGATAAAAACAACACAAAAAAAATCATCATTTTTCCATCGCAAATAAAATAAATCCAAATAAACTTTGAATTGAAAAACCACTTAAAAATGTACATATTTAAATTAGCATTACTGTACATTAAAACAAAATTCCATTGCGTAGATGAAAGCTAGATAATACAAATATAATTTTAGTTTTTTAAGGAGTTTTCTTATAATTTGTGATATTAAAAAGAAAGTACATGGAATACAAACAACATATTACTGTAGTCAAGAACATGTAATTAAACAACTTATTCTATTGTAATATTCTATGAAACATTAAGATTAAAAATAAATAATTACTGTTTGTTAAAATGTTAAATTCCAGACATCATATGATGCCATATTTAATGTTTGTAGGCATCTTTAACTGAATGAGTAATAACATTACTCAAGATAATAAATTGGCATTCCAGACTAAGAGGCCCTAAAATGCAAACACGTCATGACATTACTTAGTTTTTATATATATATATATATATATACATTTGAAATTGCCTCAGTTGAACTTGCCTAAGTCGAATCCAAAATCAAGTCATTTTATCTGTCTCTTATACACATCTTAAATATGTCAAAGATTTTAGTGAGTATGTATTTGGAGTTCAAAAAATTCCAGAAATACCAAGTCCTTTGCTAGTTTTAATTTATGGCTAAATGAACTTGTACATTTTCTAAAAACGAACATCAGTAAAAAAAATGTGAACATGGGGAAAAAAATATCTGATCGTTGGCAGTCTTGCTCAAAATATCATGGACACATTGAATGAATTATAGATTTCTCTGTTGCATGAATGCGACACTAACAAATTTGAAACCTTTTAATTACTATTGATTAATACATGAAGTATTTTGGAAACAAATGTTAAGCCGGGCACGCACTGCGACTGATGGTCGTCGGCCGATGCGATTCTATGGCGTAACAGACCATTTTCAGTGACGATCCGTTAAAACTGCCATTGGCAATCAGCAGATGGCGTCACATTGTCTGGCGCTTACAGGGAACAGAGTTCAGGATTAGTCGTACGACACAGTGACCACAAATATAGGTTTTGATAATTACCTCAAACTTTTAATTCATTCTCTCATTTAAATTACCTATTAAAACATTTCATTATACTTTAAAAAAATATATATAAAATGCCTTAGAACTTTTGTAGAATTTAAATTTCTGGTAACATATTCTATTAGTCATCTTTTGTTATGTTTCTTTAATATGTAATTTATATGTATATTATGTCATCAATTTCATTATATTACTTAATTATTGTAAAATAAAAAAAATATTTTTTTAAAAAAATTATGAAACTGAACTATTTCATATTAGCTTAATATTGTTCAGTTTTGTATTTGTTATCAGGAGGTGATTATTTTCAAATTAGACATAAGTAATAACATAACCATTTCAAAATCATTTTGTTTTAGCTCCACGTAAAGTAAGCATCGGTGATATTTTCCGCCGTGGCAAACGCAACAAATCCGTAAAGGCGTCTGAGAAGCAGAAACTCAAAGCCATCCAAGACATGGAAAAGAACAAACAGGAAACGAAAGATCCCAAATACGAGACGCTCCGGACAAAGAACGCCGTTTACTGCGCTGTCGTCTTTGAAGAATTCCTGAAAGAGTTGTCCGCTATCTGCCACGAACATGCAGTTTTCAACATGGAAGCCATGACTCTGAAACTGCCATTGTGATGCATGATGGGTAAATTTGTTCACTCAACCATAACATTGTGTACTCAACTGTAATATTGTTACTCCAATCTGTTGTAAAATTGTTTTACCCAATTAATTATTGTTAATTTTACTTATGATTTTTTTTTCTCTTGCCTGTTGGTATTTAGATGTTGTAATGAATAATATTTTTTTTGGTTATATCTAATATCCATGTTGAAACATGTAGTGATTGACATGAAAGACATACTTCTGTAATTATGAATCAGGTCTAGCAAGCAGGTACTAACACATTCCAAAGCACACATTTAACTTTAACATGTAGAATGTCAACATAATCAAATTTTTATGAAACAAAATTTGTGTTATTTACCCATATATGGGCGTGACGATGTCATATCACACCCATATATGTACAAATAATGAGTATTTGTCACATTCAAATTTTGATGGAGAAGTACATGTTGAGGGCGCCAGTACAAGTATTCTTGTAAATTCATAAGCCCTTTTGTATTGTAAATTAAGTATGTTGGCTGACATTCCAGTTGGTTCAACAAGGACTTGGCTAGAAATGTATCAAGTTTTTAAGGGTTTTTTTTTTGTTTTTTATACTGTATTTTTGATATAAATTTTATCTGTACAAAACACTCTAAGAGTAGTACAGAAAAGACATTTTAACAAGTTTATTAGGGGTTTATGTGTTGCTTATATTTATCATTAACTTTATTTGCACAAAACACCCTAATTGAGAACTCATTATTAGTTTGAGCCAAAAATACTAGGAACACAATATAGAGTTCTCCACAGAAAAGAAAAACTGTATCACCGAAATGCATGGTGAGAACGCAAACAATGGGGTGCTGCGTACGGCTGGATCTAAAAAAGTTCTGCCATATTTACGTCACAGTGAATACATAACCTCCTTTGGCTAAGGTAAAAATCGTTGCCATTATCCAGAAGATACAGACAAGTAGCATAAATAGATCAAAAGAATAAAATGACAGACACGAATGCGCAGAATCGTATGACTGGTCTCAGATTAGTGATAAAGTTTCCTTCATTAGCGAAAAGAGAAGGGCGCCGTGTGTAACTGGATCTACTTGGAAACAGAAGGGTGCCATGTATGTCTGGATCTGTGTGAAAAATATGACGTATATCCACTTCAGTTTTGTTAGGCGAGAGAGCTGTATCTTGTGTTTCTAGTATCTTTGCTTGAACAGAATCAGACCATTCACATATTTTCCAATGGTTGGCAACAAGACTATACTGTATTTTGAAAGCTTGACTCAACTTCTTTTCTCATTTAAAGTGACTGCTATCTTAGGTAGCTTACAATAAAATAATCAATCCTTTGAAAATATGATTTCCATTCTGCATTTGGCTCTCAGACAAAGCATCAATTATATTTGCTTTCTAAAAGTGTACATGAATTGTACATATTCTTATAGTATTATCAATTGTACATACAACTTTATCTTCTGATAAATCAGTCTCAACTTATTACTACTATATAACATTCAAATGCCTTGATTTTTTTTTTCTTATTCTTTTTCGAAAAACTACCAGCATCTGACTTATAAGTAGGAATAAGAAATTACAGTACAGTATATATTATAGAATATTAAGTGCTTAAAATGTTTGCAGTGATCGTGAACTTGCTTATTTCTGGTTTTGCAATTTAAAAAACATATGCTAAAGTATTTGTTTTGTTGTCTTTTGGCACTCTTGCAAGTTTGTTTTTTTTTTGACATTAGGTTTTATGTGTTACATATGCTATGTCAATACTGTTTTGTAAACAGTATATTTTAAACGTCTTAAAGGGACTTGGTATTGTAGAGCAGTGATGATTCTAATAGACAGCTATCCACTCCTTAAACTTTAGGGAGAGACTTTAATTGCCACTAATCTCCACTCCTGGAACTTCTAAAAGTGAATTGGTTATAGAAAATCAAGGGATCTAAATTTCTCCAGCTGCATCATTATGGATTACCACCACCACCCTCCCCCCCCCCCCAGATTGTTAGTTGAGTGTGTGTTCCATATGTGTTTGATCCAGTGACTACCGGTGGTCATAAAGTGAAGCAAAAAGTGACCTTAGCATAATATGGTGTTTCAGGCCAAGTCATTTTATTATGTAGTTGTCATATTTCTTTATATAGTGCTTCTGTTCATCACTTGGAGAGAGGCTTGCGGTGCTTTTCCACCGTTTATGTCGCAAATCGTGTTAATTGTAAAACTATAGTGCCTTCTGTCTTATCTCACTAGACTTTCAATCTCATCTATGCACTTCTGTACTTAAACTATCACCTTGATACACATCACCTCACTGAAACTGTTACACACCTTACTACAACTGTTAAACATCTTACTATAACTCTTACACACCTCATTGCAACTCTTACACACTTCAGTACAACTGTTACACACCTCACTGCAACTGTTGTTTACTCATGAATCTTGTTATCTCAACCTTAGACATGGTGTCAGACCCAGGCACAACAACTGTTTAACACAGGGTGGTATATCGTAAGGCGTGCAACCCCTGGGTGAGGCATTTTATCTATTGTCGTTCTTTAATACCAATGCACTTGATAACTACACTGTAACATTAGAGAATGCTCACCCAGAGAGCTGTGTATGTGTACTGTAGGCATTAATTTCATTTCAGCGATTGGATTATAATGTGCAGTGCATACAAGCACAATATTAGACTGACATGTTAAGTGCATATCAAATTGTAATCAAATAATAGAGGTGTCTGCTTTAATCTTGAACTAGGTCTTCTAATGTATAATGTGCTTAATGAAATCCATATTCATGCTGTAGAATAATTTCTTAGGTATATTTTCTTTCAAACGAAATTCAAGGTGATATAATTCCAGTGGGTATAATTCTTTTTCTTCACAACAAACCTGAATTCTATTTCCATCTCATGGTCATTATTCTGTCGTTAATAACTTGTCATCATTAGTTTAATTAGTATCGGTCAGGTTTAATTATAGTTCTGCTTTTTAGTGAAATGGTCTTAAATCATCATCACCACTATATTTATCTTATCGGCTTCACTTCTCATGTTTGTAGGTTTTTGAGTAATGTGGATTGTTCCATTAAATGACATTGTGAAATATTCCAGATAAGATCCTCACTGAGTAAATCTATGACCATGATATTAACATCGGTTATACCTTATAATTCAAATAATTTATAAAAACTGTTAAATTATCTTGTTGTAAAACAGGACTCATCATAATTGAAACTCCGATGTTAGGATC